TTTTACTAAAAATGACAAAAATATTCACCAAAATTAGAGAATTGAAGATATCATCATGAAATGAACAAATCTGAGAGAGGTCTACCCAAGGTACATATACACCAAGTATCAAAGCATTCAGGCTTGTAGTTTTCAAGAAGAAGTCGAAAAAGTAAAACATTGACACGGACGACGACGACGACGGACAATCACTCATATGATAAGCTCCGCTCGACAAAGTCGACAGCGGAGCTAAAAAAATAATACATGTAGTTTGCTCAAATGATCTGTTATGATTGTGTTAGCCATGTTGATGTCTAGGATTAGTTAGCTGTCACAAAGGTGGTACCACCTGGGATGTATTGTTATAATTACCTCCCATGATGCAAATTAATATTATACTGTATTTACTCTGTTTGACAAGATTTTGTAATGCTGAAATGTTAATATACTCTTCTAAAACAGCAAATGGAATATCCTATTATCAAACTCGATACACAATTAGTAAATTATATAATATGTAAATCTTTTACCACTACAGGAAAAGGCATAAAACTGGGGATATTATAAATGTTTTATAATATAATTTTTTATAAATCAAAATGACTGGTAGAATTTAAATTGACCAATCAAAAAATGATAGGGCAACATCATCTCAAGTTCTAATTAATATTATAAAAGGTAGTTCCACATCATCCAATTAGCACACACTTTATTTTAAATAAGTGGGATCGCAATTAGTATGTCACTTGAAGACTGGCATTATGGTAGTAAACAATGTGAAGTTCAAGAGCCAATCGTTATTAAATATTTGAATTTGAATGAAAGTTGATGATGAGTAATTTACCTGCTTAAAAACTAAGCTACACTAGCTCTCTACTTTTCACTGTAATTTGATCGTTAACCTTTTCACCACCAGCTCCATCTTTTCATCACAATTTCACAAAATAGTACCGTTTATAGTCTGGACTTTCCTTCAGAAGACTGGGACAATTATAGCAAATTTGTTTGAGTACAAACTGAAAATTGACTCAAATTTTGTCTGTTGGCTCCAAAATGAAGGTTCACTTACAGAAATATTGAGGAATATAAGAAAAAAAGTGCTGAAAAATTTGGGCGAGAAAGTTTGGTGGCAAAAAGGTTAAAGCTTCATATGTACACATAGCTCAATTGATGCAGGTATAACTGAGGGATGGTATAACTAATTACTAGAATGTTGCTTAAATCCTATCCTAAGTTTCAACTGGTAGAGTTAATGTTAACTCTTTGCTAAATGCTATCGAACACAAGAATACATCACGTGGGAGAACTTAGTAAATCACTTTGTATCATTGTTTTGTGTAGATGGCACAAATCCAAACGACATGCTAGGAAAAAGAGAAGGATGACTCGTATCTGTAACATCATCAGTCAATACTGTTTCTGCTACTGTTGAAGACCTTGTTGCCAATGAACCAGTTATGAATGCCTTGGGTACTTCATGATCAGCTGCTTCATGTACTATAGCAGCTGATGGGACAACTTGCATGTCACTGGTAGATGCATGGTCACCTTCCACTGCTGCATTTGATTGGCTAATTATAGCCACTGCGTCTTTTCTTATATCGATGGCTGGACGTTCAACAGAAGATGTGCTGCAAGCTGGCACCACTCCCACATCATCCTCATCTTGCATGCACCTTGCTTCGTCAGATGACCTAGTGTCAGATGAAGAGTGGTTAGCATTCGCTTGTGATGGAGTGACAGTTTGTTGATTTGCTATAGATGTGGAAATATCAGTCAGAGGAAGGCCGATGCTAACATCACTTGTATTAGTTTGGGCAACAGCAGTACTTGGGCATTTAGTGGATTGTTTGACAGCTTTGACCACAACATGGTTGCCATTGGCCGAATCTTTATCGAAGTCTGCATCATCACATGTCTTCCTTTTCCTGTTTCCATTAGTGGGGCCAGTATTCTTAACAGGTGTTCTTGGAGGTGTCAATGGGCTTGGCATTGGATGCGGCACAGAGGTGGTTGTAATAAAGGGAACTGCATTTCTATCAAACCATCTAAGTAGTGTATGGTGCTGTTTCTGTACAATCTTCATCAGCGCAATAGCATCACTTTCTGCACAATGTGCACTGAGAAATTGACTCCCAAGATATTTTTGGTGTAGGCTCTTTAAAGTCAAGTCACCTTTTTGGCGCATAGGGCTTGAATAGTAATTGCTGAATGCTGTTCTCTCCTCTTCGTCACGAATCTCAATAAATGCTTGCAGTGTATCACCACAGAGAATGTCTAATTGTCCTCGAACCCTTAACAGCTCATCTCTGAGGATTGGAAAGTCAAACTTGTTGCCATTGTGAGCTATCATGCAAATTGGAGGAATTTGGCGCTTGAAGAACTGTCTCAAAGCTACCATCACATTCACATCAAATGTCTGTTTATTGTGGAGTTGCAGACTTTCATTACTAAGGCCTGTCATTTGGCTGGCTATAGGCACTATTTGGTCCAGTGGATCTACACACATTACAAGTTTGTCTACAATGCGAATATCTCCCTCTGTCATAAGTGCTTCTCGACTGACAGCAACCAATGCAATTTCAGTTATTTTGGGTAGTGGTTTGTTATACTGTATCAATGTTGTAGTTTCTAAGTCCATAAAAACAAAAGAATTTATCTTATTGTCTTTTGAGTTTTCATCTTCTTCCATCTCAGTTATAGTTTCACCAGTACTGTTAGGGTTACCATTTTTTTCTGTGGTTCTTTCTGGCAACTTCTCTTTGACAGTCTCTGACATCTTTTTAGAGCAGGTCTCTGGCATTTTGTTAGAGCCACTTGCTGGTACCTTCTCAGAGACACTTTCTGGTAACTTCTCAGGAGCACTCTCTGGTACACTCTCTGGAGCATTTTCTTGTACATTCTCAGGACCTCTCTGTGGTCTGTTTTCGGACACACTTTCTGGTAATTTCTCAAGGACCCTTTCTTGCACATTCTCTGATACTTGTTCCAGTGCACTCTCTGGCAATTTCTCACTTTCTGGATGGTCTCCCTGTGATTTCAAATACTCCAAGGTCTGAGAATCATCATCACTGCAGTGATCACAGTTTTCCATCAGATTTTTGTCAGTCATATTGTCGTCTGGATACTAATGAGAAAACATGATACCGGTAGTTTTGTTAGTAAATGTAGTTCAGCTAAAGAGCAGCTACAATATGGGTTATTTGAGAATTACAAGAAGCAGAATTTTAAAAGTGCACAATAATTTATGAAAATTATGAATATTATAAAACTGGATCTCTTGGTTTTATCCATTCTTATTAAAATATGCAAACCAAACCTACATGTACATGTAAGATTTAGCCATTGACCCATTCACAATAATGTTGTCATTATTTTAATAATATTGAAAATAAATCATTCAAGTTAATGTTCACCAAATTTAGAAGAATTTCATTTGTGCTGTAAAAATAGTTTACAAAGCAGATTCTAGGTTAATATGTAATAATTTCAAAATCTTAGTTTTACCCTAAAAAAAACAGTGTTCTCACTAGAAACAGTTGCATCTGCACAAGTTATGCCCAGTAATTAAAATAAAAATCTTGTAGCCTTGCATTCACAACAACATTTCTTACAAGAGGTATAAATATTGCAGCCACTGGACTTGTGGATAGGCAATGTTTCAGTTGACTTTGTTTCTGTCTTCTGAGTACTTTTACAATAGAGCAATAATAGTTGACATTTTTGGGTTATGAAAAATGTCATAATAATAAACATACATACATGTGAAATCTTAAAGTTAGTTAGTTGCTGTATATTTAATGCCATATGATAGTGATAAAATTCTTAACTACGACAATAGCCAGGTTATAGGACTGTGCTTAGTGTCAAAGCACTGATAAATTTAATATGACAATGTTCTATATTCAGTATTCTATCTAAGGCCCTTCAAACATGCTACTGTAGAATACTTTATTTTAGCTGGAATTAATTTTCGCTGAAAGGATTTTTTGGATGTTTTGTATGGAATTTATTTTCACTGATTTTTGACAAGTTGAATGTAAAATATAGAGGGAAAAAAGGTATATTCACTGGATTTTATTTTCACTGAATCATTCCTTCAGCGAAAATAGCGAAAATTAATTCCAAGTGAAAATAAAGTATTTTACAGTATGTACATGTATATATGAACATGTTTGAATTATAATCGAAGATAATAAGTTAATTATATGCTAATAATGTATATATTTATATGTAAATTAGTCAACATTCACTGTTCCATCAAGCAGTTCTGAGTCATGTCACAAGAGACACTTTCCTATCAGCTGTCATAGCAGTGAACTTATTGATTAAAGCAACAGTAGCTATAACTGTCGATCCACTACCCGATTTTCTTTTTAAAAAAACATTTCATGTGTCATTTAATTAATAGTGTCAATTTGTGACGAACATCACCGAAATGTGGACACTGAAAGCATGGCATACACTGTATGCTATATACTGACGTTGTACATTAAATCACTTGCAAGTAGAAAAAGAAGGGCTAATCTGCACTGGCTCGGAAGGTTGCAAATGATTAGCTAGTTTGAATTTCTAATTTGCATAACATTACTGAGAATGAACGTGCATTCAACGCCACAAGTCTTTTGTTTTTTTAGCCAATCAGAATTCATCTTCCGAGCCAGTGCAGATCAGCAGAAAAAGAAGGTTGCAGGAAAGAAGGTTGCAGGGTTGCATCCGGGTTTCCAGAGGGCACCATCTATTGAAATCCAGTTTTGTCAAGCGAACCTCAGATGTTACGGTAAAAGATGACAACTTTACTGGAGGGCTCTGGGCGAAATGTCGAATATGTACCCTACCCTTGTGTTGGGTCACTTTGCTCATGCAATTGTGTCTAAAACAAGCTCATCTTTGTGTGCTAGGTTATATTTTAAAAATGTCCACTATCTTGGTTCATGATCAACGGTAAACAGCCATGCATTGCTGGAAAATGTCATAAAACATCTCATTACTGTCACTATTGAGTAATGAGGGTTGGCAAGGGGTAATTTTTAATCTGTAATCAATTGTTTTTATTTTTATAATAATGAAAAAACATAAAACCGTAGACGGGCGAGGTGTAAAATGCAATCATGCAGCTATTTTATTCATCCGTAATTTGTACAAATATCTTTTTTTTTGTAAGTGTATAAAGAATTTTCCACATTAAATGTTGTAATATGTATTATAGCAATTTCTAGGGACCGATTTACTAGTAATTGATGTCTACAATTAAGACTTGAAAAAATAGACTGACCTCTCTTCATTCATTCATTCATTCATTCATTCATTCATTCATTCATTTGTAAATGCAACGAATGACCATAATTCGCATTTTTTGTTTAATCATTAACAGCTAATGATGGGAACGTGCAGATAACCTAAATATTATGATTAATAGTAGATTATCTGATAGCCTTAAAATTCAGTCATTCCCAACCCCTGTGTTAAACACCAAGCTGGAACTAAGGTGTGGACCATCAGAAAATCTGGGAGGGAATGAAAAACTGTGGAACATGAATTTTTTTCCTTTAACTTAGTTTTGTACTAATTTTATTATTTTCATAATGAATTTGCTTTAATTATTTTCCACTATGTAAAATATTTTCTCCTTATAATTAACTCCGGCATTGTTTTTCCATATTTTTTTCTATGCACCCCCCCCCATTCCACTCTATACTATTGATGGCAATGGGAAAACACTCCACTATCAAAAATGACATCATTCCGTTAATGATAGTAAATAGTTTTTCATAAATTCTTGCATTTTATTAGAAATGCAGTGACTATAGTTGATCACAACCAATCTAATGTAGACGCCCACATGGAAGTTGGCGACGATGGTGTCAAGGCACGCAAGTGAATGTTGTGGTCTGGCGAGACATTTAAATGTTAATTATGGCGTTCACTTGCGAACGCTGCACTGGGGAGACGCTGCACTGCCGGTTTACGACATTTTTTTCACTGAAAAAATGAAAATAAAGAAAGACTTACTTGCAAAGTCTGAATTATATGACGATTGGGTGCGTTTCGACCTCGTGGTGTAGCAGACGCTAGCTGTATCTACACCAAAGCACTCAGACCAAAGCGACGCTTACAGTCATAACAAGCTCTAACAAGCC